AATCTTTCTGATCCTGATGTAGTTACCGTGGGCCATAAAGTCTAATTGCTGCAATGATTTTCGAGCGAATGCAATTCACGACGCTGAACGAATGCACTCATAGAACGAACGTGACTCGAGTGGATGTCATCATGATAAGTGTGGTAGAAACGGTAAGGCTGTGAAGGAATTATTCTTGTGGGGGTAACTTTTATAGCCAGCTGCAATCACGGATCACAAGATTTTGATTACATTAAACCGTAAGTTATAATCCGGTTATAGATTCTTCATTATCCCTTCCCAACGATGATTGAAAAGAAGAATTCCGTGGGACGACATTCGGTAAGGATACAATCGATAGCCAAGTACGCGGCATCCGAATATACGTGACTGAAGGTTTTTCTTGACGTTCGATTTCATAAGGCCAAAACAATTTATCAGATCGTGATGTGTAGAATATCTAATATGCCCGGCAATTTACCACCGCAATTAGAAACTGCAATCGTTGTGTCGTTTAGTGGGTAGCATGCAAGCAGCAGTGGCAGGGTTTAGATTCCTTGTTGAATATTTTAAGTATGACACAATTTGAACAATTGCCGCATTTATATTCTAGTGTGCAGGGACATAGTTATGCTGATTGTACAGAACTAGCTGGTGTTCAGTAACTAAAGGAGCGGTATCCGTGCGATAGCCATGCGTGGTCCACTTTCAATTCCTGGAAAAGGCAATTTAATTTGGACTTGAATTTTACGTTCGTTCCAAGTCACTGTTGGTTTCGTTTCTATGAATGAAGCGTGTTGAGGCTGAAGCTATAAAAAAAACTAGGGTGAAATTATACTCATGAATATGTTATGTTGCTGCTGCATAGCCCTGGGTGGTCTGTGCAGTGCACCGAGGTTAGTGGGTAATTCTATACTGCGATGGGTGGTGTCTACGCTATTGAATTCAAATAGTAGACAGAAATATCCTTGAATGAAGCGTTCTTTAACATACTCGTCAAGGCGCAATCGTTTATCCCTGTTTCCTTTAGCAAAAAGTGAAATTAAATTATTTGGGTCAAAGTCAAAGAAAATCCAATCACCTTCTTTTATTGGTGCTTATTTTCAGACTAAAACGAGGTATTTATTTATTTATTTATTTTAATTATAGTCACTTTAAAACTCTTGGGTCATTCGTGACTTGTCCGGGGCTTAGATTTGAACTCGTGACTTTGACGTGAGAGGTATGGATGTTAACCACTACGCTGGGGCCGTTCCACTATGAGTTAAATGTATGCATCATTTACAAAGTTGATGTTATGAAGTGTGACTTCATTTGTTTCAAATTCTTCGCAATTTTCCGCATTAAAATAAATGTATATCGATGACAACGCTGGTGTTAGTTTAAGCGTTCAGATGTACTAAATGTTTACAGCCATTTTGGCATTTTAAGGTGTTTTGTTTTCGTTTCTAAGTTGATTTTGATGTTTTTTTTTTACGTCATTGTGATGTTTTGGACCTTATAACAAACGTGTTTGCCTTTTAATGATGGTGTGGCTTTTAAAGGTCATTTTGGCGTCATTTGACTGTTTTAAAGACATTTTGGTAATTTTAGAATTACTAATGCCGTTTTTTGCGTGTTTCTGTCCTATTTTTAATTTTCATGATTGTGTATGTGTTTGACGTCGTAATCGGTCTGTTCCCGTACTTGCTAGATTGATTTTGATATCAGTTCTTATAAGAGAATAATATGGAGCAGAAAGTACGCTTGTGCTTTTTTTTTTTTGTACATAATCGTACAGAAAATCAAGTACGGGAACAGACCTAATGTCATTTTAGTTTGAGTATTTTTTGAGACCATTTTGACTTGTTCAATTATTACCCCGAATGTTATACCGAGAATAGTTCATTAGCCCGAATAAAGGCATCGAAGCAGTTATCTTTTAGCATCCAATAAAAGTTTAAAGCAAGTAAAAATCGTAATAGGGTGGGTGAGCCAGTAGTGGAGGTACTAAGCCAATTTATTTAGTTATCTTTAAAAAATTCCGGGATTTTTCTAAACCCGGGTAACAGGATCCTCAGAAATGCTCCATATACTCATTTTTCTCTCTTGACCTTCACTTCTTTTTTTCAACATGAGCAGTTCTTTGAGTAGTGGTGAAATCGAATTATTAATCGTACTGAACTGCATTCAACGAAACAGGTCGTTTTTTAAAATGAGTCATTCGTAATGGCATTATTGGTAATTGAATTCGGTATAATGACATTCTAGGTAATAACAAGGAGTCGTTATTGTATTTTCAGAAGGATTCGTTCGTTTATCGTTTAAAGAGCATTTTAATTAATTAATCGTTTAAAGAGCATTTTAATTAATTAATCGTTTAAAGAGCATGAAAGTCAACATTATCTTAAAATCCCGAAATGGTATGAACAACATGGCCATAAAAAGGCGAATGCACAATAGTGTAAAACCTCTTAAATACAACAACAGCATGGTCGTAAATCCTCTGAAAAGGCTTAAGATCCACAATGGCTTTAGATCCAAAGGTCGAATGTAGGATAGCAAAGGATTGCAGTATAACATTTTTTTTAGTAATCCTTAGCATGAAAAACAAAGATCTGAGCTTGGACAAAACATGAAATATGTCTTGAACTTTGATGAACTAGTCGGATAAAAATATAATTGAAAGGTTATTCCGAAGAGATCTCCAAAGGAACTGTGGAAAGTATTCTTAGTAAATTTCATGGAGACCAGAAAGTTATTCTAAAACCAAATTCAAATGCTTTAGGTAAATTCTTAGGATAATTTAAAGGTAGTAGAATTACTTGGCAATTCTGAAGAGAATTCCAAGGGGATTGTTGGGAAATTTCTAAGAGAATTTAAAAGAATCTCTGAGAACAACTCAAAGAGAGTTCAAAGGATAATTCCCAAAACTATTCAAAACTCCAAAACTCAACAACACTAAATTCTAACAAGAGTCCAAAGACAATAATTAAGGAAATCTAACATTAATTTCAAATGAATTGTAATAAGAATTTGAAAGGGATCTGAGTCTGATTCCAAAAGAATTCTAGGGAGAATTTAATATTTTCAATAGCGTCAAGGTGGTATATTATTTAGCTGTATTTTGAGTTGAATTTCATGTAAACTCACAACATCTGAGGATAGTGTTATGGGACTATTGAGAAGAATTCAACAAAATTAAAATATATTTTAACGGACTTGTGGGCAAATGCGAACGGAATTTTGAGGCAACGACAATGTTTTAACGTTGTATCGAAGTAAATTTAGTGAAGTATGATAAAATTTTAAATTTAATTTAATGCCAATTAGGGAACTACTTGGGCCACAAACTGGCACAGTTGCACTATATGCAAATTAATCGTAAATTATGCGGATAGACTCTATGAATCTGTTAGGACATGATTTGATGCTAAGAGCGTTGTCTCAGTCGTGGTTTATTTAATAGATCATTTCATCTCAACTTCAAAGCTAGTTGGAAAACTTAAAACAACCACAAATGATACGTATATTTTTCTACCTGGATTTGACGCTCTTTTAACGAGCTTTGTCGGCTCTCAACTTAGTATTATAGATGCATTTCCACAGTTATTAATTGAATAACGATATTTTATGGATATTCGAGAGGATTTTTGAAAAAAATTAAATAACATTCTAAAAATAACTCTGAGAATGGCAAAGAAATACATTCTGATGAAAAATCCATGAAAATCCTGACAAAAGCTCCAAGGGCATCCGGAAAGAGTTCCAAAAGAATCCTGATGATAAATCCAAGGGGATCTCAATTTGTTGACATATAAAGAGTTCTAAGGCGAATGCTTATTCAGAGGATAGTTTCTTGCGAATCACGAGGAAGATTCCAAGAGAATTCTAAGGAGCATATCAATTAACTCCTGGAAATATTCCAAGGATACTTAAAAAGGGTAATTGAAACAATTTGAAAAAAATCAAGAATATTTTTAAACTTTGTAGAAAATTCAAAGTTAACATTGGGCATAATGCTATAATGAAATTACATAACACATTGAGCATCTTTGAAATGTTTGGTCAGTCTGCGGGCATATATTTCAGAGACTGAAAGCATTCCGCGGGCCGCACAAACGCACTCGGTGGGCAGTTGGATGAGCACCACTGCTTTAAAATGTTGTAATAAAAACCAAAACTAAAAATGCCATAACTAACATACAATGTTTGAGTACATGTGATTTTCTGTGCAAGTGCACTAGTTCTGATCAATAACGAAGGAGCAACTACGAAATGTAGGCTCTTTTTATAAATAAATTTGTCATTTTAAACATTGTACAGTGTATTTAAAGTTGCATACGCAACTCCATTTCTTATCTCAGACCAGTGATCCGAAACAATCAACCTTCAATTTTTGACCTCATACTTAACACACATACACGCATACAACATTCAAACTCATGCATTCGTTCGCAAACAAAGTAACTTCATTTTCATCGTGCGTCCCAAAACCATGTCGTTGAATCCCCGAATACGCTTGTCCTCCTCTGTATCCAAAACGAAACTTCAAACCTAAGCTAAGATTATTGTTTAGTTTCTTGATTCTTCCATCATTTGCTGTCTTTATGCCTTTCTTATTTTCATTTTATGTTCGCTTATGCTAATGGCACCTAAGTTTCACTAGGCAAGGTAACTCTAGCATGTTAAGCAGCGCTAGGTTGACAATAAACTGCGATTTTGAATCAACGCCAGAATGAGTAATGTATCATAATTGATAATGAATCTTGAGAGGAGTAGATAGGTCCTAACAGAATGCAGTTTTATCAGTTGAGGGTGCATTGCTTGAAGATGCCGTGTAACTTGCCCTTACAGTATAAAGTAATGAGTTAGAGAAGAAAACGGAGAAGGGACATTGGCTTCATTTCATTTTTGTTAACAGTCCGCTTAAATATCCGTTGTTTTGTTTGTTAACCTCCTTGATAGTATGTAAGCAATCGTTATAGAGAAAACATCAGCTCAAAAGAGACTCAATTTTCTGACCGTTTTCTATTGACCAGCTTTGGCCGGATACAACCGGCAGCAGTGGCGACAACCGACTGGACTGCGCAGCAAGACGTTCACCCGGCTGAACCGAATCGCGGCAGCGAGTCGATGACCTATCAGCAGGCTGGCATCCGCAACACACTGCCACTGTCGTTGACCAGTAGTCTCCAGCGCGATCTACAGCAGAATATACCACTAGATCGAACTAGATTTCCCAGTAGTGCTAGTAGTAGTAATTCCAAACATAGCATCTATACCGAAATAGCCCTCGGTCGATCCATACAAAACGTTATGCGTCCGTCGTCGATCGGAGGCTCTCGATTTGCCACGACTTCGTCCTCAACTATGGATCATCATCAGGATGATGCGCTTTGTAAAACTGCTTGCAATTTTTTGAAAAGCGGCAACAGTCACAGTATTGCCACTTGTACTGCTAATCACTCGCACAAATGTGTTCAAGATCTAATCAAGGAGGAACTTGGTGCTAGATTTTTAAACCACGGCCCAGGATCGGGAAGTTTGAGCAACGCTGGTAGCTTAGTTAACATCCACATCGAGTCGGAATTGCAGCAGCATAGCGGGCTTGGAGCTGCCGGCGGATACCAGTCAAATCCCGGGTCTGGTCGCACCAGCCCATCACATCAGATGTTCCATCACGGTTCGCCACCCAAGCATTTCGGCGCAATTGGCCACTCAATCAGCATACCAAATAGTACCCGGGTTAGCCGAGCTCCATCTCCTTCGTTCCTGCATGCCGTCGCCGGAGAACATCCAAGGTTGGAGCAAGTTCCAATTTTTCTCTTGTTTTGTTTTGTTATGCCCTTAGCTCTGTAAACAAGATTGGTTTTGCATTTTCTTTTGTGTTTTGCTCTTTCACCCAATGTCTTCGGTTTGTATTCCAAATTTTAACATAACTGTTTCAACTGCTAGTTCGAGTGACTTTACATACATACAGTCATTTTGAGGCCGTGTTTTTTTTTTTTTGTGAAACTAATTCGATCCCGACCAGGATTTCCATAGAAGCATAGTAGTAGAAAATTGATAGAGTTGTACTAAATGTCTAATAGAATGTTTAGAAATTTGCAAATCAGATAACTATTCCAATTAGGAAGTGATTTTCCGTGTCTGGTTCCTCGTGTGACAATCGTTCGTCCCCTTCTTTAGTACACACCTTCTATAGACCCGTGGTTACATAGTATAGAACCTTGTTATGTTACACATTGGAGGACTTAATCGACCTATTGCGTGCCAGAATGCGGGATTTGACTTAACACGCACCACCTCTTTCAGTTGCATTCCTGGAGAGGCGGTGGATTCTTTTTTTTTTTTTGCTAGCGAGTGTGATATCCTCTCTTTGTTATGATACAGATGATGAAACGTGCTCTTCTGAATCAAAGCGATAATAAATGGTGTTGATGAGAGCTGAATAGCAGCAGTGCATATTTAGCATAGTTCTGCTTGATTTTCTACAAATACTTACGTTAGGATATCTTTTAAGAAATATGTGCGCTAATAAAGTCACATTGCCCTTAGTATCTGTTTTTAATCAAACTGGTAATCTGCACTTTAATTATCTGATTTGTCTTCGAATTCGAGCACATACACAGCAATACATAAATATTAATATTACATCCAAGAGGATGTAATTTTTATGGCCACAAAAATAAACAAATGCAGTAAAAGCATTTCAATTGCACAAATAAGTTCACGAGATGATTTTCTAGCCGCAGTGCATTTGGGAAACAAATTTTGTTTGAAAATTTAACTAAACATAAAAATAACAAAATTATTTAAAAAACCTTCCGACGACCACATTACAGAACCCAAACCTATAATAGAAGCTTACTTTTCCCGGTTGGGTGTAGTTATTGTAGTTGGGTAACTATTACACACAACCAAATTCTCTTTATTTGAGAAGTAATTTCGCTTGATAAATATAGCCAGGGTTGAGAAAATATTAAAAAAAATCTATCTCAACATTTCTTCGATGATCACGCTTGATTTTCGTGGACAAATATCAACAAGCAAACAGCAGCGGATGATACTACAAGGTGTGATATCGTTGCTCCAAATATCAAGCCAACAAAACCCATCAGCAGCGGTGCCGTGGTAAGCGTGATTGCCTCTCACCCTAAAGGGTAATCCTGAGGCATAAAATCTCTGATCACGCCTTTCTTCGGAAGGGAAGTAAAGCCGTTGGTCTCCGGTCCAGTTGATGGGTCAATAGGTAGAGTTCAGGTATGGAAGCTGCCTCCCTGGCGTCGGTAGCATTGGTACTCAGTACGAAAAACAAAATCGAAAGTAAACAAATCAAGGAAAAAAAGCCATCAGCAACTATTATTACCAAACTGTGGTGAGTTTGAGTTTCAAGATTTTTGCTTTACACCCGAACGCTACCCGAAACTTCCATCACTGCTGGTAGCAGTAGTTATGTGTCTGTCTGGCATGTAAAGTAAAGAGAGATAACAAATTTGTCTATCTCTTTCTTAAAAACAGTGTTCACCGGAAACCAGAGGAGCTTGTAAAATCAATATCAAGCATGATGTTTTGTTCCGTGATATTGAGAGCGTATAAGAGATTTTGCAAATGATTATGCCATCACTGAATTTAACAAACAGCGTTCTATGAAACTTACGTATTCTTGTCGTCCGCGCTTCAATGGGTCATTTCTCGACGTAACGAACACATATGCAAAACTGGTTTAAAATGGTTTTACAACGCTATAAACTTCCCAAGTAACATTTTAAGTTTTATGAAATACCGTAAAAGGGGTATCTTTGATAATGCGGGTAACTTTGATAGTATAATGTAAAGATTAAATTTACTCGCTGCGCTTTTTCCAAATTAGAAACATTGGTTCCATGTTGAAGCTTAGGGTATTTCCGTTGATATCGTATATAGTTTTTATATAGTGTGTTACATATTTAACAAACATATTAAAAAACAATTTTCGTGTTTTTCGCCTGTTTGAAAAAGCACTCAAACCATAACTTATGAAATGTATCTCCGATATAGCCATCACAAATTCAATGTTGTTTTCTTATTGCTTATGATGTTTTCTGATTATATACTCATTCAATGTTTCATATTTAAAGAACTAAATTGTTTGAGTTTCACCCATTTTTTTTCTACATTCATCGAGCATTATCAAAGTAACCCCAGATCAAAAAACTGAAGTTCGGTTACAAAACTAAAAAAAATAGTGCAAATGCTTTAATTTTCGTTAAACAAATTACTAACGAATTAACTCTTGGATCCTCAGTACTTGTTTTAAAAAATATAAAATTTGACAAACATTCATTGCTGTAAAAATTATTTAGAATATACTTTTAAAAAAAAAACTATCAATGTTACCGCGTTTTACGGTACTAAAACAACATTCATAAAACCCTGGTCAAGACTGCTTTGCCATTGATGCATTTACCAAAACCTCATTGATGCTAGAGTCTGTCTAGTTGGGCCACCCTGGAGAAGGTTCTGAAGGGTATATTTTGGAAGCTCTTGAAGATTTATCCATTATCCTTTTACCATTAACCATTATCCGAGCTATCTACCCTAGCTGCTTTTCTAGTTCACTAGAAAAATAACAATCAAGATAAAAAAGGATTCATAAATACCATCCGATCTTATCAAAATAATTAAAATAAAAACTGATCGTGCCAAATTTCCAAAATTATAAAATAGATCTCTCATGAAGTGGCCTAGTTTTATGTGCCATATAAAATTTGATGTGAAATATACGTGAAAACATCGAAAAACTTGAGTCCGCCCACGGAAAACATAGATTTTACTAATTATTTTACATTAAGAAAAAAATATATTCTTCAGATCGATCATTAACCTTAGCCGATATTTTTGTTTCTCATGATTTTTGCACTCTAAATATTTTCTCACTGCTAAATTAACTAAAATAAAGTTACATCCAAGGAAATCTAGATTGAAAATCGAAGATTGTAAAAAAAAACCATAACATAAACGTTGATTTTCATGGGCCATTTGTGAAAAAGTTATTTTGCTTTCAAGAAATCCTTAACAAATTCATAAGGTTTTGAAATGGCTTTTATGAAGAAAACTTGTAGACTGAATTGTATTTTTCTAAAGCCATTATGCTTGATCTTAACCCGTTCAGATTTATGGCAGTTGCCTACAAAATGTTAAATGTCAAAGTTTGTTTATCTTTCGATAGTTGCGCTGTGCGATTCAGCGTTCTTCCAGACGCTTCTCTCCCTATGGCTTGGAAGCAGTTACTCAGAAAGTGTTCACAACATTTCGCATTTCGTGCAGCTGTAACCTCGATCATTCCCGAAAAGATTCCCTTCTTCCGGATGATTCTGGAAGTACACCATCAAACGATGCAGGAATGTACGGTTGAATAATTTTTTTCCAAGTGATGAACCTTTCGCCGAAAAAAAAACGTAGCTATGGATCGGAAACGAACTAGTGTCCGCAAACTGACAGTTTCAGTGGTTTGCTGTCGGTACTGACACAAGTTATTCCGATCTTCATCTATTCGCAAGGTCTGGAGAAGAATGGTCTGTTTTCAGACTGTTTTGACAATGTTTTATGAATTTGAGGACCACGCTCACTTCACTCTTCTCCACCAGATGTTCAGTCGTTGATGGTACCCGTTCCGCCGGACGTGCTGGTGCTTCTAAAGAACTAAATTATACTGAAATCGACTTCCCTTCGTTCGTTAGCATCGCTTGAATTTTTCCTCAAACTTCGTTTATTCTTCGAGACATCCTTGTCATAAATTTGGTTTTTATTCACTGTGAGGATCCATCCATAAAATTCAATTTGTAAACAGAGGAGATTTTATGATACACTTTTAAAAGCCTAAAAGGCATCAAGATATGCTTTTTGCTCTCATTTAAAACCTAATGGTTTTATGATTGCTTTTATAATGATAGAACAGGTTTATAGAGTATTTTATCAAGACATTAATAAAAAAAATTGCTAATGAAGTTTATGATTGATTTATAGAACAGTTTTATGGTGGGATTGAGAACTACTTAAAATTTAATTTAAAAACAAGACAGTTTTTGACTTCTCGCCAGACTGTAAAAGGTTTTTAAAACAGCGTAAAGGTGAACTACTAAGCAGGAACGATTTACACTGTGAAATGCTGTATTTAAACTAAATAGATTATTCATTGCCATTATAAAACCATCATAAATCAGAGTGGATGCTAAATGATTGCAGAATTTTTACTTGGGATTCTTAGGTATATATATCAAAAACTTGAAAAGGAGGACACTTCATTTGAGGTATGGAGATAAAGGAGGACAATGTTTCCTTTTCTTAACATTAAAGGATGCCAATGAGTTTTTATCAAACGGGCTAATAATATGTGTGCAATCACAAAATTCATGATTTTCAAAGGTTCAATTGAGATTGTTAATAGGTAGTAGTCGTAATCAATTCAATTCATCTTCTCGTTATACGTTTGAAATATGCATCAAACTAGCTGAAGAAAACAGTCACTACCTGCCAAAGCCGTCATTTAGTGTAGATAATTCGTCAATTGTCATGGTTGTGTCATTTCTTTTTGGTGTCAATTTCCCGTGACGGTAGAAAAAAAATCTCACGAAATTGCGAGCGTAAAAATTTGACGTTTCTCATGACGGAACTAAGTTAACATTATCACTATAATGACTTGTATCGCTGTTATTTTTGCATTAAATCAGCTCTATATTAGCATATAATGGTTTATAAGTAATAATTAACTTTGTTATATGCGAATCTAAGATATGATTAAGGCTGCGTTTTAGTGCTT